CCCTGCAAAGAGGCCCAGGGGGTTCTGGGTGTTGATGTGGAAGGCGTGGCGGGGATGAGGGAGAGCCCCAGGCAGGGGTCAGATGAGGCTGCCCCGTTCGGCTCCCAGCTCCCAGCACCGAGCAGAGGGCTCCTCCCTAGCTTAAAGATGGGGTGGCATGCGGGCAGCTGCCGCAGCATGGACACAGCCAAGGTGTGACTGCTACGAAGTGGGTTTGAAGCAAATGCGTGACCATCTCGTGCACCGGGAAACCCGAGTGTGGACCCCAGGGCAGGAGCCAGGCCTCAGCTGGGTCACTGGGCAGGTAGATGGCGCTGCCTGGGCCCCGGTGTCTGAGTGCGCTGGGTGTGCGGTGCAGTGAGGATGGGCAGCCAGCGCCCTGCTTAACTGTGATCTTGGGAAAGCTAATTAGCCTGACGGACTCTCACAGTGGAGGCGATTCCGACATCTAAGTCAAGGTGCAATTTGTTCTGACACTAAGTATCACCGCTGTCTTTTTTAGTAAGATGGAAATCAAGAAGCACCGAACCAAATCAAACAAAGCCAAGCCCTAGGGGCTGGGCAGGATCAGGAAGCGCTGTCTGAGGACAACCTGACCTGGAAGCTGAGGGGCAGCAGGGTCAGGGCTGTGGCCAGGAGCTAGGGCTTCTCGCTAATAATGCTGGGAAGGAGGCTCGAGGGGATGGTGCAGTCCAGCAGATACAGAGCCCCTCTAAAGGAGGAGGGGAGGGGGAGGGGAAGGAGGAGGAGGGGGAGCGGGAGGAGGGATCACTCTGGATACGGAAGGATTTCACTGAAAGGGATCCCATTCTCTTGAGCCAGTGGGGTTGTTCCAGCCCAAGAATGACAGGTGCCTGTGCTGTGGTCAGGCCCAGGCATCATCGAGAGGTGAACCCCACGGGAGATCAGAGCTTTGTGAAGCAGAAGGCACCGTCCCAGGCTAAGGGTGCAGCTCATTTGGTCATCCAGAGAGCTGGCAGCTCTGAGGAGCCCCTGGCTGAGAGCGGGGTAGGGCATCCTCAGTAACCATGACAACCAACTCATCACCATGGTTTCTGAGCCGTCAGGCTCTGCCGAAGCGTGGAGGCTGGCAAAGTACCTGGAGAGAGCGTGCCGCCCTCAGCCCTGTCCCCAGCCCCTTGGTGCCTCAGAACAACACCCCTCCCTTGGGGGTGAGTGGGAGTCGCTGACCCAGAGAAAACACTGGAGGAGCTGAAAGCCAGGAGGGCGGCAGGAGTGGAGGGGAGAGAGAGCAGCCAGGGCTGGGTAGCGGCCTGGGGCACGTGGCTCCTGCAGCACTGGGAAAGGAGGCTGGCCTTGAGCCCCTACCTCCAGCTCAGCCTGCAGACTAAGCTCAGGGCCCAGCAAGGGGCCCCCATGGCGTTAAGTTCTTTGGGAAGCAGTGACAGCGGCGGATCAGGACTGGGTTGAGGCCATTCAGGAACTGGGGGGAGGGGGGGCAGGTGAAGAAGGCGTCCTCCCGCCAGTGCTCACACGTGGACTCTGGAGGTAGATGGTCACACAGGGGGTCACCAGTCCCCTGCCTCCCCTGACCCCTCCTCCAGCCAGCGCCGTTGCTCTCTGTGGCAGGTGCGGGACAGCTGGGTTCCCCGCCTCCCTGCTCCAGCTGGCTGGGTGACTGCTACTGAGGAGTTTCTCAGAAATGAGGTCTGGGTGCTGCCCGAGGGGTCTCCTGAATCCCGCCTGCTCTGGGAGGAAGGCTAAGGCACTCGGGGTGGGGGGTTACTTAGACTGCTCTAGGGTGAGAGTGGAGTCTGGCTCCTGGCTTCAGATCAACTCAGCTCTGGCCGTTGAGGCCATCTGGGAAGTGAACCAGTGGATGGAAGTCCTCTCTCTGTCTCTTCTCTCTCTCTAACTCTACTTCTCAAATAAATTAATGAAAAAAAAATTTTAAAGACGGAGGGATAGAGTGTGTGTGTGTGGGGGGGGGGTGTATGGCCAGCACACCAACTCCATGGTCTTGACTCAGCTTCACCAGCTTTGGGATGGAGGCTGCAGGTGTCCCGAGCGTGCAGAAGGAGGCTTGGTGCCAGCAGCGTTTGTAATCCTGGCTGAGCTTGACAAAGCAGTTGAGTTGACAAAATTTACTTTCTGGCCACTGTGGGAACCCTAGGAGCTGGGAGTGGCTGGGTGACCCAGGAGGGAGGAGATTGGGGGTGGAGCCCTCAGACTCCCCACCCCCACCATCACCTGCTGGCAGGAAGTGCGCCTCCTCAGGGCAGACAAGAGGGTCTGAGAAGGACAGGGGCATGTCCTGTGATTTCCAGAATGTTCCAATTCTGGCTCTCTGGGGCTGGGGGGTGTACGCCAGGACTGCGGGTGGGCTCCTCCCCATCAGAACTGACTTCAGAGGGCAGGAGCTAGGGAGCCTTCTTGTCCCCAGAACTCTGGGCAGGCAGATGCACGAGGAGGGGTCTCCAAGGGTTCTCCTCACATCCTGGTGGCGCCACCAGTGTCTTGGCCGGCTTTCCTTAATCTTGACCTGGCCCTGGGTGTGGAGCAGAGGGCAGCCACACTCCCAGATGGCTTTGGCTGGCTGACTTTTCTTAACAAGGCTGTTCCCAGTGTTCGATCAGAAAGTCCTGGAGGTCTCCTTTTGGGGTTTATTTTCTTTCTCTCTCTCAATTTGAGGTCCCCGCTCTTCCTCCCCAAGTGGCCATGCTATAAAATTCCACTTCCTGTCTCAAACGGCATTTTTTCCAGACCTTCCTTCAAGTTTGAATCGCACTTTTTTTTAAAGCTTGCTTTTTTTTTTTTTTTTTTTTTTTTTTTTTTTTTTTTTTTACAGGCAGAGTTAGAGTTAGACAGTGAGAGGGAGAGAGACAGAGAGAAAGGTCTTCCTTCCATTGGTTCACGCCCCAAATGGCTGCTATGGCTGGTGCGCTGCGCTGATCCAAAACCAGGAGCCAGGTGCTTCCTCCTGGTCTCCCATGCAGGTGCAGGGCCCAAGCACTTGGGCCATCCTCCACTTCCTTCCCAGGCCACAGCAGAGAGCTGGCCTGGAAGAGGAGCAACCGGGACAGAATCTGGCACCCCAACTGGGACTAGAACCCGGAGTACTGGCGCCGCAGGCAGAGGATTAGCCTAGTGAGCCAAGGCGCCAGCTTTTTAGCTTGCTTTAAGTCATAAAAGGGATCATATGCATATAAATGTGTGACTTGTTTCCCGCCTATATAACAATGTACCATAAATATTTTTGCCATGTCAGCATTTATGAGTTGACTTTATTAACAGCTACATTATTTTTCTAAATTTTATTTATTATTATTATTTATTTATTTGAAAGTCAGAGTTACACCGAGAGAGAAGGAGAGTCAGAGAGAAAAAGAGAGAGAGAGAGGGAGAGACGGAGAGAAGTCTTCCATCTGCTGGTTCACTCCCCAGATGGCCAAAATGGCCAGAGCTGTGGCGATCTGAAGCCAGGAGCCAGGAGCTTCCTTTGGGTCTCCCACATGGGTGCAGGGGCCCAAGGACTTGGGCCATGTTCTGCTTTCGCAGGTTACAGCAGAGAGCAGGGTAGGAAGTGGAGCAGCCAGGACTTGAACTGGCGCCCATGTGGGATGCTGGCACTGCAGGCAGTGGCTTTACCTGCTAGGCCACAGTGCTGGCCCTGATTTTTTTAATTTTTTAAAAAAATGTTCATTTCCACTCTTATTTGAAGGGCAGAGAAACAGAGAGGTCTTCCATCTGCTGGTTTACTCCCCAAATGCCCACAATAGCTGAGGCTGGGCCAGGCGGAAGCTGGGAGCTTGGAATTCCATCTACATGGGTGGTAGGGACCCAAATCCTTGAACTATCCCCTGCTGCCTTCCCAGTACCCATTATCAAAAAGGCTGGAGTGCAGACTGGAGCCAGGACTTGAACCCAGAAATTCCAGTATGGGATGCAGGCGTCTCAAGCAGCATCTGCACCACTGCACTCCATGCCTGCCCTCCTCTCTCTCGTTCGAAGATTTGTTTCTTTTAAAGACAGAGTTACAGAGAAAGAGAGAGAGGGAGAGACACAGAGAGGTCTTCCATCCACTGGTTCACTCCCTAAATGGCAGCAATGGCCGGAGCTGGGCCAATCTGAAGCCAGGAGCCAAGAGCTTCTTCTGGGTCTCCCACGTGGGTGCAGGGGCCCAAGCGCTTGGACCATCTTCTACTGCTTTCCCAGGTGCATTAGCAGGGAGCTGGATTGGAAGTGGAGCAGCTGGGACTCGAACCGGCACCCATATGGGATGCTGGTGCTGTTGCCTGGTGCTGCCCAGCTTCCGGTCTTTCCTGAGATGGCAAAGTTTAACCCTTTCACCCCTCATGGCACTGCTTCTTTCCCACAAAGTCCTTTCTTGCTTAAGTTAGCAGGAATTGTTTTGGTTGATTAAAAGCAAAGAAGTTATATTCTAGGTCACCTTAGGGTCACTGACTCTCCACGAGGGGTGGGTGGTTCCAGTGCCTGTCACTCACAACTGCCCTCTGGGCATTGCCCCAGGGACTTTGGTGGCTGTGTTTGTGCATTTGGGGGTGCACATGTGGGTATACACTTGGCATTTTATCTCCTTTGTTTTGTACACATGATTGAAATGGAAAACCCCAAGCACCAGCACCTGCCGTTTGAGACAGGAACATCAGCGGATGAATTCAAAAGGCCACGTTTGGGCCCCTAACAGACCTCACCTGAATCTGAGGCAGGGGCGAGAAGCAGAGTTAGCAAGGGCGTGCGAGGTGCAGGCGTGCCCCCACTGCACGGGGGGTACAGGGGCCTCCGGGAGTGTCTCCCCGGGAAGTGGGACCTGCTGTACAGCACGTGCCTTTTGTCCAGGTGGGAGGAAATTTGGAGGAAATCTCAATGGGCACAGGTGCACTACCCTGGGGCTGGAAGTCCTCTTCCTGCGGAGCCTCCAACGGCCCTGTCTCAGTGTTCTCATTTCAAAGCTGGGACAGCAGGTCACAGCCAACTTCTCGCGCGGTTTCAATATATTTTTTAAACTTAATTAACTTATTATTCTTTACTTATTTTACTTTTATTTATTTATTTTTTTTTAATTTTTTTTTATTTGACAGGCAGAGTTATACAGTGAGAGAGAGAGACAGAGAGAAAGGTCTTCCGTTTTTCCATTGGTTCACCCCGCAAGTGGCCACTATGACCGGCGCGCTGCACCGATCTGAAGCCAAGAGCCAGGTGCTTCTTCCAGGTCTCCATGTGGGTGCAGGGCCCAAGCACTTGGGCCATCCTCCACTGCCCTCCCAGGCCATAGCAGAGAGCCAGATTGCAAGAGGAGCAACTGGGACTAGAACCCAGCACCCAGATGGGATGCTGGCGCCACAGGTGGAGGATTAACCTAGTGAGCTACGGCGCCGGCCCCTACTTATTTTACTTTTATTTAAAAGGCAGAGGTCAGAGAGAGAGAGGTCTCTTTCCCATCTGCTGGTTCACTTCAAATGTCTGCAACAGCTGGGCCGAGCCAGGTCAAAGCCAGGAGCTGGGAACCCAGTCCAGCTCTCCTCTATGGGTGGCAGGGACCCAAGCACTTAAGCCGTGAGCTGCTCCCCCCAGGGTGCACATTTGCAGGAAGCTGGAATTGGAGGAGGAGCCGGGACTGGAACTCAGGCACTCCAATGTGAGAGGCAGGTGTCCCAAATGGCATCTTAATGAGGGAGCCACACGCCTGCCCACCAGGCCGAGTTTGGGCAGAACCATTCCTCGTGTGGCTGAGCTGCCTAAACAGTGACTGCCCTTGAGTCAAGTGACCTTGCGGTCCACCAGCAGTGGTCAGAGGCCGGGATCATGCACTTGCCACCACCGGGAGCCAAAGCAAACAAAACCCTGGCAGGGCGCTGTGGGGCATTCTGTCCTCCGTCGGCTTATGGCTTCTCGGTTTTGATTTTGTTTCTCCGGGTGGTGGGGAGTGAGTATAATGGGGCCTGTTTTTCTGGGGGAGTCTTTTCCCTGGTGTCCGTTAGCCTAGAGTAAGCAATGTGGTCAAAGGAGTTTGCCACGAGGGGCTGTGTTCTCCGGGGATTTAGATGGAGACGCTGTTCTCGATGAGCGGCGGGTCCAGGTAGGCGTAGGGCAGCGCCAGGCCCCGGTTCCGCTCCCGGATGTCTCTCGAGATCTGGGCCAGGCGGCTCTGGAAGGCGGCGATGCTGCGCCGCGGGGCGTCCTCCGTGAAGTGCTCATCCGGGTACGTGCCCAGCGGCCTCTGGGGGCAACCACAAGGGTGGCCGAGGGGCTGCTGAGGTCCCCATCGTCTGAGCCGCTGTGACCCTCCCTAGCTGGCTCGGGCCCTTGACCCTCATCCTGGGTGGAGGGGGTGTGCAGACCCGAAGCAGCCTCTGAGACTCACGCCCTCCCACCAAACAGATCTTCTCCCCACACACACCCTGCAGCAAAATCCTGGGAGTCTGAAGTTCAGGGTTTTAAATGAGCGGGATGCCACCTTGCCCTTGCAGCTACGAGCGTCTCTCATCATCATCTCATCTGGCTGCTTGGCCCTCACGGTGAGACGCCCAAGGCCGGGAAGTCCCCCAGGGAAGGGACCCGTGGCAGGGCTGCATCTGGGGGACAACTCCACACCCTCCCTGATCTCAGTCCCGCTGGCCTGGCTTCCTGCCCTGGACTCACTCGGACTCCAGGCTCCTTGCTCAGCACCCGGAGGGCAACGACGACGTCGCACGTGGCATTGACTGGCGGGAGGGTGGCTAAGAAGCCCTCAGGTGTTGCCTGGCCTTTGGAGGTGGGCGGGGGCAGCTGCATGGTGGGCGGCAGATTGGGCATCCATGCACAGGAGTCAAACTGAAGCCGGAAGGGACAGAATGAAGTGGAGGCACCAGCACCCCACATCCCACCACCCCTGCACTGCCCTTCCTCACCTGCCCTGCGCTGATAGAGGAGTGCCTGGCTGAGCAGGTGAATATCACCATGGTGACGTACTGCACCAGGGCTCCCCGGGTCTCCAGTGAGGAGGGTACACCTGCAGGGACATCTGGGCTGGGGCTGGGGCTGCCAGGGTCCTGAGAGCTGCACTGCAGAGACCTGAGGGTGGGGCCCAAGGGCCAGGGTCCCCGTACGTACCTGAGCTCTCCCGGGATAAGAAGCCCTTGGTGAAGACCTCTCTCACCCAGGCCTGGAGCTCCTGGTCATCCTGTACTGCTGCATCGCTCGGGTAGTAGATGCCGACTATTTCGGAGACAAAACTGCAAGGTGCACCTGTGTTCAGTCCCCACCTCCAGCCCTGACCAATCCCTGAAGCCCACTCTGCCCAGTGTCGGTAATGCGCAGCCCTCCCCTCACCGTGAGTCCCCCCGGGGCCCCCCGTCTCCCTCCCAGGCTCCTAGCTGTCTCACCGCTCCATCGCCCCCCAGATCTGCATGCCGTCATCCCGGTAGTAGTAGCCCGGGAGGTCTTCAACTCCTCGGGCTCGGATATCTTCCGGCAGACACAGGGTGGCATAGCTCAGCTGCTCCATGTTCCTCTGTATCAGCTCGGAGAAGCCTCCGATGCCGAGGCCTGTGGACTGGAAGACAGGACAGGGTCCTGGGAATCTGGGCGCTTGCTCTAGTGCTCGTGTGGGGAAGAAGAGGCCGCTCCCACCCCCCACGGCCCCTGATTCTTCACGTTGGAGGAATGTCCCACTCCCACCCCAAAGCAGCTCTTACCCTGTCCACGACCTGCCCCGGAGCGATGAGCAGCTCACGGGCCAGTGTGTTGATGTGCAAGGTGTACCGTGTGTGCGGGATCAGCAGCTGCAGGGGCGGGAGATGGCGGCGCTGAGGGAGGCCCCAGACCTCCTCCCAGCTCTTTCACTGGCAGACTCCAAGGGGCAAGACGGGACTCCAGGCTCCATGACGGGGGCTAGTCCCGCCAATGCTGGGTGCACTCCTGCCTCTCTCTCGGCATCAGATTGTTTTGCCGAAGGAAGGGCTGGTTTGCATGAGACCTGTGACCCTCCCAGCTCAGACCTCCTGCGATTGCCTAACCTCTGGGACCTGGCACTACAGAGCACTTCCCCAGAGCCCACCTCCGAGTGCCAGGCTCTGGGGGCTGCAGACAGGCAGAGAGAACCAGCTGGGCTTGGAGAGCACAGACCAGAGCCTGCCTGCAAGACCCAGGAGCCTGTCTCAGTGAGAGCCAGAGAGACTGAGCAGCTGTGGACCCCAGGACAGGAAATCCCATCCCTTCGCATGCGTCAGGCCTGTGGACATCTGGGGGCCCTTCAGAGCCCAGCCCAGAGCTGTGCATGGAGAAGCTGCCGATGCAGGGTGGGGACTCTGCGCACAGGCTCTGGGAAGAGTGCTCAGAAGGGGCATCACGAGGGGCAGGTCTGGGCCCCCCTGGTGGAGCCACTGACCTTGAAGAGCGGGTGGCAGTGGGGCAGCTGGCGCAGCATGGCCAGCGTGAAGACCTCGGGCAGCAGGTGTCCCTGCAGCAGATGCGTGAGGGCCTCGTGTACGGAGAACTCGGCGTTGCGCACCCAGGTCTTGGCCAGCAGCCAGTCCCACTTGTCGTCGCTGGGCAGGAAGATGGGGCTATTGGGCCCAGGGGTCTGGCTGAGCTGAGTGGGGACCAGTGGAGAGGAAGCGGCTGTGAATGCCTGCCAATCACTCTGTGAGACCCTCTCCGCCCCTGCTGCACTGAGACCTGGATGGCGAGCGGCACCAAGGGCCCACGCCCCGGGCGCTGGTGTAGCAGGGTCAAGGGCGCTGCAGAGAACTGAGGCCTCCCATTAACGACATTGGTACGGATACTGGAGAGGATGCCGTGGTCCACCAAGAACAGGGAGCCCCTCTGTGGGAGAAAAGAGGGGAGCTGGGGGCTGCACCTGGTTTTCTAGAGCCGGAGTGGGGCAGTGGTGGCAGGGAGGGGATTCCAGGCTGGGGGAGGAATGTGTCTGGGGAGAACATGCACAGTAGGGCCCTAACAACTGTAAGTGCACCCCTCCCTCTCCCACAGGGGGTGGGCTCGCATGCTTGATCCTGGACGCCATGTTCTACCACCTCGCCCCACCTCTAGCTCAGCCTGCAGACTGCTCCCGGGGCCCAGCACGGGGGCCACCATGGCATCGGTGACTGGGAAGTTCTTTGGGAGGTGGCGGCAGCGGCGGATCAGGACAGGGTTGAGGCCATTCAGGAACTGGGAGGCAAAGAAGGCGTCTTCCTGCCAGTGGTCAAACACGTACTCTGCAGGGGCAGGGGACATGGGGACTGGTCACCTCTGGATTCAAGGTGGTTGCCTTCTGGGCATCCTGTACCTTTCTCGAGTTTCCGTCACTGCGCATGACAAAACAGCAAACTTTATCTCCCAGCCCGTGGTGCACCTGCCATCCTTTTCCCCCATGGCTCACCAGCCGCAAATGCAACAAATCAGATACCACAGGTAGGCTCGGCCCCGCCCCCTGCCCGTCATCCCCTCAGTGGGGTGCGGCAGACCCCAGGGACCTCTCCCTTGGCAGCCCCGCCCCTCCGCTGCCCATCAAGCCCCACGGATGCTCAGTCCTGGTGCCTCTTGACCCACCTGCCCACTCTGTCTCTACTGCTCTGCCTCACTGGACCACCACCTCGTGGCTCATGGTCCTGTTTCCACTCCTGCCCCCAACAGCCCCCTTACAGGGCACATCTGGCTGGGTGACCCCTGCCAGCCAGCAGTCCGGGACAGACTTGCTGTGGCCCACACAGTCCTGCACCACTGTGCGCTGTGCCCCGCTCTCCTGCTTCCTCCCCGTGCTCAGCCCACTCAGGCCACAGCGTCTTCCATTCCCCTGAAGGTGTCAGGGGCCGTCCCCTCCACTGGCCCCTGAGCCTGGAGCCCTCTGTGTCCCCACATCCCATCTTTGGTGCTGTTGAGGCCGCCTCAATTTTGAGGCCTCAGTATAAGTTACTCTCTAGGGAGAGCTCTCCAGTGTCCCCTCCAGGCTTGGGTAGGCCCTCCTTTTGCCCTTGGAGCCAATGGGTGCATCTCCCCAGTGCAATGAATGATTTGACTTTGAGTCCAATCCATAGCCACTGGCCCTGGGAGCACAAGGACTGCACTGCAGCCCAGCGTCTGATGGACAGGAGCTCAACACCTGTCTGTTTCCTGGAAGGCCAGGGATCCCTCCAGGCTGCACCAAGGGCATCGGTGCCCGGATTCCCGAGACTCCTGACAGCCACGGAGGGGACGTCCCAGGAGGAGGCCACAAGCCCAGCCCGCGCTCCTCACCAATGGCTGGCGTCCTGTGGAAGTTGAATATTCTTCTCATCTCCCGGAGGCTCCTCCAGAGCCCTTTGCGGTCCAGCAGCCCCTTGATCTTCAGCTCTGCCACCCTGCCGGGGGATGCCAGGGCTGGGGAGGGGGCCCCGGGAGACCCTGCCCCACCAGCCAGCCTCAGCCCTCCTGGCATCTGGACCCAGTTCCCGCTGCTTGGGGCCCCACTGCTTTTTGGGAGGTGTTGAGGACAGGAGCCCGGGTAGGGCTGGTATCGCCGAGGGGGGGCAGGCGGAGGGGCGGGGCCGGCAGGAGGCCCCCCTCACACAGAGCCGATGTTCAGGTAGAAGGCGGCGTTCTTGGCTGCAGGGTATTTGAGGTTGAGGTCCAGGTCTTTCACCGTCACCTCGTTGAGGCAGTGAGGCCAGCCAGGGAGGTAAGTCTTCCAGCTGGAAGTCAGAGCAGGCAGGGGGCCAGCGGCAGGTCAGAGGGAGCCCCTGGACGGGGGCAGAGGGAGCCAGGGCCAGCCACCCTTCCTGGGATGTGCTCTGGCCCTGTTCCCGCAGGGAGACTTCCCCTGGGCGTGGCTGGCTGATCCAGGGTTAAGCCCCCGACCAGAGCTGAGCCAATCAGAGTCCTTCCCAGGGAATCTGAGATTGGGCCCGAGCCAGGACCCTTCGCTTTGGCTGAGACCGTTTTCCACGGGGGAGTTGGGAAAGCCTGCACTGCAGAGAGAGGGAGAGAAAGAGCGAGAGAGAGAAGCGAGAGTCACCTTGGCTCCTGGTCTTCACTCCCTACCCTCACTCCTGTAAGTGCCTCTGTGTCCTGCTAACAAACTCCCCTTTTTTTTTTTCTATCTGCTAGTCGGAATTGGGTTTTGTTCTTGCAAGCATAGAATTCCTGACCACCACAGGCCGTCGTGCTGCGGGGAGGCTGATCTGGGGAGGGGGCTGTAGCAGGCGGCCCAGCTCGCTGGCGTCTCCTCATCCCCCGGCCTAAGGCACCCCTAAACCCAACTGGGAAGCAAGCCCACAGCTAACAGCAAAATCGCTTCCCCCAGCAGCTCGCCTCTTATTCGCTCATTCTTTGGTTCCTGCAATAACTGCTCTAGGGTTTGCGCTTTCGACTTCAAAGAACAATTTGCACTTAGAGAACACTGCCACCAGGTGGTGGCCAAACCCCACTACTCAAACTTCTGTGTGCTTTCAGGTTCACCCAGGGACCTTTTAAAAATGCAGATTCTGATTTAGTAGGCCAGGGGCGGGCCCCAGAGCCTGCTTTTCCAACAGCTCCCAGGAGGGGCTGTGCGTCTGACCCCCACTGGGTACTGAGGGCTGGGACCCACGGAGTTAGCTGTTAACAGCACATATTTAGACACTAGCTGCATTTGTACCATTTTCTCATTTGTTCTATCTAATAATGCAAATAGGATAGGTTTCTTTCGTGGAAGAACATGAGGGAAGGATTTGACCTAGTGATCAAGACACCAGCATTGCTCACATATTGGAGTGCCTGGGTTGGAGTCCTGCCGCAGCATCTCGGAAGCCAGCTCTACCACTTGGGTCCCTGCTACCCATGTAGAAGCCCTGGAGGGAGTTTCCGACTCCTGGCTTCAAGCCCCAGCCAGCACCACTGTAGGCATCTGGGATGGACTCTACTTGTCTTTCTGTCTCTCTGCCTCTCAGATACAGTAAATATATTTTGAAAGAAAAGAAGGATTGCTGAAATTAATGACTTGCCCAAGGCCTCACAGCTCTTTGGCCCTGGATCTCCATGGATACGGCAGGTCTCAACATTGGGCCACCCCCGCCCCCCTGGGGTGGAGGGGGGTGTTGCTGGCAGATCTGGCTCAGTGGTTCTCTTGAGGGTATAATTCATGACGCCTGTAGAATCATCAGGAACCAAGTGAGCCTGTGCCTGCTGTGACCCACAGCACACGCCTCTGGCCCAGGCTGCAGACAGCAGCCAAAGTTAAGATCAGGGAACGTAGGCACCTGAGAACAATTCTGGGTTTTCTGCTCCCTTTGCAGCCCTCCCGAGGCCACCTCTGCTCTCTGACCTCCAGGGCTGAGACTAGGGCAGAGGAAGAGCCCCCATCCCCATCCGGGCATTGTCGCCCTGGAAGGCGAATGGGTGGGGGGGGGGAGCTGGGTGGTGTATTTCATCTCTGGAGGACACAGCCAGTGGATCTGTGAGAACGCCCCAGGGCAAGGGAGAGCCAGCCGGCATAAGGCACTCAGCAGGGTTTTCAAACCTCAAGGGCGCTGTGGGGGGCCTAGGACAAAAACTTCCCCGCCCACCCAGGTCTGATTCTGTAGGTCCCAGGGGCCTGAGAGTTTGCATTTCATAGGAGGGCTTGGGTGCTGAGCTCTAGTCTGTGCCGTCACAGGCGCCCCCCTCCCCTCCCCCAGCAGCGGCTGCCTCCTCACCCGTACGCCTGGCGCCGGGCCTGCAGCTCCTCTTGCCGCTGCTGCCAGAGCGCGGGGTGCTGGTCGGCCCGTGAGACTCTGGCTGCGGGAAGACTGGAGTGCGTGAGAGGGAAAAGGAGAAGCCCTCGACCTCTGGCGCCAGCCACCCTCTGACCAGGTCCTCTCGCCCCAAGAGCAATTTCCCTCTAGTAGGGCTGCTCCCCACGATCCCCTTCCCCGTCCCTCTCTGCTGCCCCCTTCCCCCTGGCCACACCCGCTAACCCTTCCACACTCCCCGTGGCCCTCGTCCCAGCGCCAGCCCCAGCCCTCACCTGCCCCTTCCCGCAGCGCCAGGCTACTCGGCGCCTCGAGCCACTGGTAGCAGGGGAAGCGCAGCGGGGCACCTCCCGGCGGCGTGAGCTGGACCCAGCGGCAGAACCAGGCGTCGCCGGCCGCCGCGAGGCAGAGCGGGCGGGACAGCGCGGGGGGCGCCAGGTGCAGACGCAGCAGCAGCACAGGGCCCACATCTTGGGGCAGCGTCACTTCGAAGTCCTCCTCCTGGGGGGAGGGTCAGCTTGCGGAGGGCCCCCCTCTTGTCCAGCCCTCCCCCTCCAACCCTGCCCACCTCCTCCACGCACTCACAGCGCCCGCGGTGAACTCCTTGCCGAAATGGTCCAGGGGCAGTGGGGGGCTCTCCCCCAGGGTCCCCACGATGCTGATGGACACTTTGTCCCACGTGCCAGCCCCGAAGGCCTTTCCGGTGGAAACCTTCACTGTGAACTTGGCCATGGTGCCAGCCTGAGTCTGGTCCTGTGGAGTGGGACTGCAGAGCTTTATGGCTGGCTCTCAGGGGACACGCCCCGCCCCATCCCGCCCCAACAGGCCCTGTTCAGGCCAGGCTGGTTGTTACCACTACCCCCGAGTGCCCGGGATTGGTGGGGGTGGGGGTGGTGGAGGAGTGAGAGACTGGAGGGGGGATAGGCAGGATGCTGGTGCATGGGGCGGGGGGATGGGAGGAGTTAGAGCGCTACCGGGACACAGACTGGCTGGAACTGCTGAGGTCTGGGGAACAGCATCTTTGAGCCAAGATTCTGGGAAGAGACCCAGGATTGGGACCCAGCAGGTACCCAGGTTCTACGTGGCCCTGCCCCTTTTGTTTATTTTATTTTTTTTTAAAGATGTGTTTATTTATTTGAAAGTCAGTTACAGAGAGAGAGAGAGAGAGAGAGAGCGAGCTTCCATCTGCTGGTTCACCCCCCAGATGGTCACAACAGCCAGGGCTGGGCCAGGCCAAAGCCAGGAGCTTCTTCTGGGTCTCCCACGTGAGTGCAGGGGCCCAAGCACTTGGGGGCAGCCTCCGTGGCTGTCCCAATCACATTAGCAAGGAGCTGGGTGGGATGGGAAGCAGGTGGGGCTCACATGCACTGCTGGTGTCGCAGTTGGCCGCTTAACCCGCTGCACCACAACGCCAGCCCCTATTCATTTTTCCTTAAAACCTGGGCATCATCACCTCCCACTCCCTATAGCTCTCCTTGAACTATTTACATGATTTTATTTCATTTAAGAACTAATTCGGTGCTGTTGGCAAGACCCAAGGAAGACCCCGGTGTTGGCTGTCATGGAGATTAAAAATCAAGTGCGAAGAGAAGTCAATGAGGAAATGAATACTTCATTTAACAGTTTCAGATACCCGGGAGCGCTGACGGAAGTCACACAGGCTGGCATGGGGGGGGGGGGGTGCTGGGGAGAGAGGCTGGATCCCAGAGAGGGGACGCCTGAGGAAGGCTGTATGCAGAGGGAGCTGTGTGTGCCAGAGCTCACACAGGTGAGCAGGAGGTCGGCTTGCTGGAGAGTTGAAGGCGGGAGTGCAGTGAAGGAGACAGATGTCAAGGGGAACTGAGAGGTTTTGGCGTGGGGTGTGTGTGACAAATTTGGAGGCTTGGACCTGGAACTGCAACAGCCAAGAGGAAAAGCCTCACCTGGCACGGAGCTTGGGCTGGAGCGTCCAGCCCACAGGTGTGCTGAGTCACAGGTTGGAAGGAAGAGAAGGGGGAGCAGACTGGGCCCCGAGGCCTTCCAAGGCTTGGCAGTTGCCCAAGGCAGGCAGAAGCAGCCAATGCAAGGTGGGGGGAAAAAAAACAAAAACAAAAACAGGGAGGGATGGGTCAATTGTGTTCCATGTTGCTAAGAGGCTGGACGAGAGGGAGGCAAAGAAGTGACCCCTGGATCTGCCAACAAGCTCTTGGAGTATGTGCCACCCACTGAGCAACATGACCCAGAGGATCAACCCAGTTCTGTGCAAGCAAGGAGGGCACAAGACGGAATCCCACTGTCAGCCTGGCGACTTTGCCTGGAGCAGTGATGGGGGTGCAGTCAGAGTGACCGATGGACTTGCAGCCACACACACACACACACACCAGGCTTGAAGTGTAAACCTGCAAGGGCAGGAAAACGAGCATGGAGGTGACAGCAATGGATTTAACACACAGGGGAGGGCGGAAGTCCAGAAGTAGATTGGCCCCACCCTAAAGCTGCCTCGAGCCATAGGAGGCGGGAGACTGACGCTTCTGGGGATGGGATGCAGGTGATGCTGGAAATGGGATGTGATTGGATGAATTGTTTTTTAAAAGATTTATTTTATTTATTTGAAAGGCAGAGTGACACAGAGAGAGAGAGGTCTTCCATCCACGGGCTGCAAGGGCCAGGGCTGAGCCAGGCAGAAGCCAGGAACTTGGAACTTTATCTGGGTCTCCCACATGGGTAGCAGGGGCCCAAGCACTTGGTCCATCCTCTGCTGCTTTCCCAGGCACATTAGCAGGGAGCTAGTTCGGAAGTGGAGCAGCAGGGACTTGAACTGGCGTTCACATGGGATGCGGGTGTCGTGGGCAGCAGCTCAACCTGCCGCAACACAACTCTGGGCCCCGGTAGAGTTTTTGTTGGTTTATTAGAGGCAGTTAAGCGCCCCCTCCCCCAGACACACTTCTGCACCTCATGTAACTATTAAAGAGAGAATCCTTCCCGACTCCCCAGGTCCTGGGAGATTTGTTTTCTACAGGGGATGAACTTGAGCAGATAGAGCCGTGGGTGGGACACCAAACTTAAAGTCCGAGGATGGGCCAACAGTGTGCATTGTGGGCGGAGGGCGCCCGGGTCCCCAGCCTCATCCCTGGCTGGGCTCTGTGGGAATGCCTGCTTGCAGCTCTTCAGGGGACAGATGTAGCAACAGAGCTGCAGGATGACATGCAAAGCCTCTGTTTAAGTGTTTGAGGAGTCACCGTACTGTTTTCCACAGCGGCGATGCCATCATCCTTTCCCACCAGCAGGGCGCAAGGGGTTGGACTTGTCTGCGTGCTCACCGCATTGTTTATCTGATGATAGCCTTTCTTAATTAAGTGGTATCTCATTGTGGCTTTGATTTGCGTTTCCCTAGTGATTAGCGATGTCACATATACATGTGTTTATTGGCTGTTTGCATATTAGTTTTGTAGCAATGCCCGTTAATGTCCTTTGCCCAAATCAATCATCCTTAATTATTATCTCTTGCCTGGGCAAATTTTAGTTTATCATGTGAATCATAGGCAAGAGCAATTCACATGGAATTTGCATCTAGGACACATTTACATATGCAATTTGCATAAGGCACACTTTAAATATTTTTTTGGTTGTAGGTCACTCTCATAATACATATCAGTATCACACGCATCTGTGTGCCCAGATGCAGTGGGTCTAGGAAACAGTGGCGATGCTTTATAGCTTCTTTTTTTTTAAAGAAAGTGTATTTGTTTTATTTATTTGAAAACCAGTGTCAGAGAGGGAGAGATATAGAGAGACATCTTCCATCTGCTGGTTCCTTCCCCAGATGGCTGCAAGAACCAGGCTCGGGCCAGGCTCTAACCAGGAGCCTGGAGCTCCATCCGGGTCTCCCTTGTGAGTAGCAGGGCCCCAAGCCATCCTCCACTGCTTTCCCAGGCGCATTAGCAGGGAGCTGGGTTGGAAGCAGGCCCTTCAGTGTGAGATGCTGGCATCACAGGCGGTAGCTTAACCGGCTGCGCCGCAACGCTGGCCGCTTATGGCTTCTCCAACCTAAAATCCAGCCCTCCTGCTTGTGAGAGCAGGAGCAGTGGGTGGGGTTGAGACCGTGGCTGCTCCTGGGGGTGAATCCTGGTGGTTCTGCCCTCCCTGACTGTCACTCTGCCTGGCAATACAGTGCACACCAGTAAGGGCTGTGGTGTTGTTCCAACTGGCTTGGGCATGTCCTTTGATTAAGGATTCCTGGATGATAATAAAAGCCTAAAAGCAGCCTCTTTAAACGCCCCTAGCCAGGACGGGACCCGTCGTATGGACACGGAGGAGGCCAGGGGCTGGCAGTGCTGCTCATGAGGACGGCTCCATGGCACCGGGAGTGTGGTTCCTTTCAGAGCGTCAGGAGCTCAGAGCCAATGCCGTGGCCGCAAAACCACAGAACAAAAGCAGACACTTTCCTCAGGACCTCTTCAACCTATAAAAATGAATCTCTTTCTTAATCATCTAAAATCATAGGTATGAGCACAAACTGTAAAACTGGAGAGACCTGAAGATGCTTGCACAGAAAGAAATTAACTTTCCTTGTATTAAAAAAAAAAAAGTTTTTAAAAACCAAACTGGGGGGGGGAGGGCACAGCGCTGTGGCATAGTGGGTAAAGCTGCCACCTGCAGCACCGCCATCCCATATGGGCGCTGTTTTGAGTCCCAGCTGCTCCACTTCCAATCCAGCTCTCTGCCATGGCCTGGGAAAGCAGTAGGAGATGGCCCAAGTCCTTGGGCCCTGCACCCGCGTGAGAGACCTGGAAGAAGCTCCTGGTTCCTGGCTTCAGATCGGCGCAGCTCCAGCCATTACGGCCATCTGGGGAGTGAACCAACAGATGGAAGACCTCTCTCTCCCTCTCTCTCTGCCTCTGCCTCTGCTTCTCTGTAACTCTGCTTTTCAAATAAATAAATCTTAAAAAAAAATACATTAGTGTCATCTTCAAGGTAAGATACGGCTCAGGCCCATGGTGGGTCTGGAATAGGAGGTAGACTGGGGACATGGGGTTAATGGAACTCTTTTGTGGGTAGGCAACACAGGCTCACTAGGGAGAACTTGAGCAAAAAGGAGCATTTATTATAAGAGGAGTCTAAGGAGATAGCTGGGCTGCAGCGAGGGCCTGGAGCACAGTAGGAATTTAGGAATGGCTAGTTGTCCCACTCCTACCCCCACCCCACCCCACCCCGCTGCCCCCACAGCTCCTGTTTTCACCTTCTCTGTCTAAGGCAGGAGATGGGTGTGGGAGCATCTTCATTCCTGGTCTAAGTACCCAGCCAAGTGTCGGCACTGCCGGCTGGGACCAGGAACCCACCCCTGGGTGCAGCCGCTGTGCCAAGTGGGGAGGACTCCTGCAAGACGCCAGGCTGGCTGCGTGCTTCCCACCACGCTGGCACTGATGCACCGTGGGGAGGTGAGACTTCTCAGAAGTGGTGAGGAGAGCGTGCCCAGGCAGCGGTTAACCCTGGGCAACACACAGCCCCGAGGTAGGTCATGCTTCTCACAGGAGGTAGCTAATGTGCTAGTCAGTGTCCAGGATGCTTCCCCTGAAATCCTCCTGCCACCCTGTCTTGTCCCCAGATGGCCCTGGTGGAGCCCCCGCATTGGGCTGCAGAGCCACACTAGGGAAAGTCACGGGCACACTCCGAGGACCGTCAGCCAGCACTGAGAGAGAAGCTCTGGCTCCCCTAGGCTGTTGTGTGATGAATGCCACACATTTCCAAGCCATCCACAGCCTCTGCCAGCTCTGGCTGGCGTTCAGGGCATTTTTTAAAGATTTATTTATTTATGTATTTTTAAAGATTTTATTTATTTTACTTGAAAGAGTTACACAGAAAGAGAAGGAGAGGCAGAGAGAGAGAGAGAGAGAGGTGTCTTCCATCTGCTGATTCACTCCCCAATTGGCCGCGGCCGGAGCTGCGCCCATCCGAAGCCAGGAGCCAGGAGTTTCTTCCGGGTCTCCCACGCAGGTGCAGGGGCCCAAGGACTTGGGCCATCTTCTACTGCTTTCCCAGGGCATAGCAGAGAGCTGGATTGGAAGTGGAGCAGCTGGGACTCGAACCGGCGTCCATATGGAATGCCAGCGCTTTAGGCCAGGGCGTTAATCCGCTTCGCCACAGCACCAGCCCCAAGATTTATTTATTTATTTATCTAGCTAGCTATTTATTTATTTAAGAGGGAGAGCCAGGAAAAGAGAGTGATCTTCTATCCACTGGTTCACTCCCCAAATGGCCACAACAGCCAGGGCTGGGCCAGGGTGAAGCCAGGAACCTGGAGCTCCATCCAGGTCTCCCACGTGGGTGCAGGGACCCAAGCACTTGGGCCATCGTCTACTCCATTCCCAGGAGCATTAGCAAGGAGCAGGACTGGAAGTGGAAAAGTTGGGGCTTGAACCAGAGCCCATATGGGATGCTGGCGTCACAGGCGGAGGCTTAACCCACAGCGCACCACAATGCCAACCCCACTCTGTGGGTGAGGGTCTTCCCTGCTGGGGGGGAAGTAGCCGTGGTCTCCAGCAATGAGTGAACAGGCCCCGGCACTCCATCTTCCTTCCCTGAGCGGCGCCTCCCCTGCCCCAGCTCCGTGGTTGCCTCACCCCTGGGTGCTGTGCTGACTCCCTGAAGCCTCAGGGGGCCCTGACACAGAGCGGGCCCTTCCTCGGGGCCTCCACACCCAGGGACTCCAGGCTGCAGGAGGCTAAAGGCCTGGGAGAGCCGGGGCTCTGGGGTGACTCCTCTTCCCCAAGCCCTCTCCCTGCCTCTCCCGTCTCATCCTGCTAATGGCTGACACCTGGCCACCCTCATCCCCAAGGACGCTGGGAAGAAAGCCCTTTATCAGCCTTTTCTCAAATGTCTGCCGGGAACTCTGGCGGTCACGTGGCCTGTCTGAACCTCTGCGGGGTCTCCCGTAAGATGGAGTTCCGCTGGGAGGAGACGCAGGTGCTCAGTGAGCTTTCTCAAGTCAAGTGCTTAGCGCAGCTTCTAGCCAGCACCCAGGAAGACAGGGCTTGGAAGCTGAGCTCACCTCCTGCTTTAGGAGAAAACAGGAACCTCGGGGGAAAGTCCTGGAATCTGCAACTCTCTGGACCACAGAGCACCTACTCCCAGGCCAAGCCGCCCTCTCTAATCCTCTTAGGAGGACTTCTCCTCCTGCAGTCCCGGTAATCCCTCCCGTGCCAGGCTCTGGCCCCCTGGCCCCGGCTCCTGCCTCAGGGTCTCGCTAGTCTGGCTCCTTGAAGCAGCATGTTCGTCTGCGGGCAGAATTCTCCCTTCAAAGGGAAGCCAACGTCTCCGCCCACGCTGCCCCCTCTCTGGCTCCTGCAGGAACATGTTCGACTCCTGGCCTTTTCTGGGAGACTCTGACCCCTGGCAGGTCCAGTCTGTGGGACAAGCTCTGGTCTGGGGACAGCTGAGGTGTGCAGGCCCTGCCCCGGGGACACAGGAATTCATCCACGAAGAGCCGGGGCCTGGGCCTGTTCTCCGAGAGCCAGGAAGGCTTCTGCCACTTGGTGGCACTGTACAGCATGAAGCGGGGTTCAGGGCTCCTAGAGCCTCTCACTGCAGACCTCTAACACCAACCCTGCAAGTCGACTCCAGGCGAAGCCACCACCTGGCTCCCGGCCCACGCAGAGAGGGTGACCGGAGCTCTGGTGCCCACCCGACCTGAGATAAAGGCTCAGCCTTGGTGTGGGGGGTGACCCAGGCACCTGCCAATGACACACGGGAGAACCCACGTGGCCCTAGGTGAGGCAGAGTAGGTGGGAGAGACAGGGGTGTTCTGGCGGAGGCCCAGGGCTGAGGAGGTGTTGTGAGAGCCCAGAGAGGCCCAGGAGACAACGGGCGGGCGGCCAGTGACAAAGGGTGGTCACCGTCATCTAGGTGCTGGGCTTGCTGGTTTAGGGGAGGAGGCGGAGAAGAAGAGAAAGCTATTTGTTGAATCTGCAGTCATGAGCACAGTTTTGGAAAAGCAATTCATCTGCTTTTCCAGTTTTCCAGTCAATAAACAGTTATTTTCATTTTATTTGAAAGGGGGCGGGGGGGGGGGGAGACAGAGTCCATCCACTGGTTCACTCCCAAAAGGCCCACTACAGTTTTGGGCTAAGCCAAAGCCATCGCTATCACCATTGTCATTGCCATCGCCATCGCCAGCGCGCCCCTGCCCCAAGTGTGCATTAGCAGGAAGCTGGAATCAGAAGCGGAGGAGTAGGGACTCAAACCCAGGCACTGGGATGTGAGGTGTGGGTGTCCCCAATGACGTCTTACCTGCTACAACGAATGCCTGCTGTGGGGAGCAGCTCGGACTAGACTGTTACTGGAATTAAGACTTATTCTATGCATCTGCTCTCCCACAATATGGCGCTGGGAGAGAAGTAAACAGCTTCCGCACAGCTGCCTCCAGTTCAACCAATTAACTGTAGGACTTGCTCCTGATTGGAGAGCAGCGTACTCGGCGTGTGGGCAGCCGAGTTGGGATTGGCGGAGGAGGACTATAAAGGAGGAGAGAGACGGCATGCACCAGGAACATCTATGGGGAACATCTAAGGGAACCTGTGCAGCCCCCGAGAAGAGCCGGCCGGCGGTGTGCCGCTCCCCTGCGGAAGTGGGGAATGCGGCCAGGGGGAACTGCCCTTCCACGGAGGTGGAAGGGATAGTAGCCAACCCGGGAAGAACCAGCAGCAAACCCGGGGAGGGCCGAGCAGACGAAAGAACAGCGCAGGGTCCTGTGTCGTTCCCCCACGAAGACGGGGAGCGACAGCCTGCTCCACATTTTAAGCAGGTGGACCAACATCTCATCACAATGAAGACATCACCGGGGTGAGGAACAGAAGTTCTCGCGTGTGGCATTAAAGGAATGGTGCGTGGCGATAGCCCACACTGGCTGGCGCAAGCCCATTCGTGAAAGGCAGAGAGCCGCCCCTCAGTACCCCCAGGGAATTCACCCAGAACTCCCTGGCACGCCAAACTCCGAGGGCTCCCAGATTCTTTCTATAAAATACCCCTGGAGAACTTCTGCGGCCCTCCTGTGAGTTCAGTCGTCTCTGGATTACTTACAAGACCTCACAGAGCGTAAACATTGCTGTACTGGATCGCGGCGGGAACCAGGACAAGGACAAAGTCCGTGAGTGTTCAGGACATGTGCCGCCGACCTAGGCTTAACCACATGCCCCTCGGCGGCAGCCAGGTAATAGCATTTCCCCAGATATCGTTGATCTGCGGTTGGCTGGAGCAGAAGGGCGACTGTCCTTCAGTTCTGTGTAATAAGGTGTTGGCGTGAAGCCTGTCCATGGCCGCAGAATTAGCACCAAGACCCATGGCTGAAACCATCAGGTACGAAGTGGTCCCCGTCTCAGAAAGAGAAAACCCATGGGCATTGTCAGCCGCCCTCCCCTCAAGGCCTTCTGAGACTTCGTGGAACCCACCCTGCCATCGCCTGTCCTCCGGCATCCCAGCCCCCCCGGGGCCCAGGAGGTGAGGGAGGGGAGTAGGGGTGGGCGGGAGGCAGTGTGTGGGCTAAGGGCTGCCTTTCCTCCAGCAAATGCCATGGGGAAGGCTCGCTGATCCAGGAAGGAGGAGCCCTCCAGAGCGGGAGTGGGTGCCCCGCGCAGAGGACCTGGGAAGAAGCCAGTGGAAGCCCCAGCCCAGCACCCCCGTGGGCCTCCCAGAGAGCACGCGGTGGGGGTGGGGGGCCGCCCACTGCCAGGCTGCGGAGACACACCTGCTGCCCTTTGAGGGGTCCTTGGGGATGAAGAGGCGCGAGTGAATTTCAGTCGGGGGGAGCCACACGTTGTGGGAACCCCAAGCCTACCCAAGTTTAAGACAACCTTGAAGAAAAAAAATTCTCTAGACCCAGGGGTTTGCATTCATGGCTTCCGCTGAGCTTGGATGGAAAGTTTTTTGTTTTTTTTTTTTTAAATGAAATTGGATCTGTACTGACTGACCGCGTACAGGTTTTTCTTGTCATGGTTCCTCAGCGACACGGCGTAGCAGCTCCACCGCAACAGGGAACTTGTATCCCGGTAATTTTGGCGGGTGGGGTCCAGAACCGATCTCCCCCCCTCCCATACTGAGGGAAGACCCCACAAAACCAGGTGATGTGAGGTCTCCACTTCGTTGGCTTTGCAAGGAGGCCCCTCAGAGGCAGCTGAGCCAAAGCCAGACCAGGAAATCGCCCCAGCCACAACTCAGCAGTTAAGCTTGCATGTGTCAATCACTCTGGAGAGGGCGGGGCAGGGATCAAAGGATTACCCAGCGCCCCCCATGTCCCTCTTTCCTTGACCAAGCAGGGGTGGTGGTGGGGAAAGGGGCAGCCAGGACCACCCAGCTCAGGTCTCCGATGGAGGGTGCTGGGAGCAGACATTCCAAGTAGGTAGGGTAGGGTAAGTCCCGTGTTTTCAAGCGAACTCAACTTTTTATAACCTGTAAAATTTAAAAAAAAAATTTTTTTTTTTTTGAGAGGGGGGAGAGAGAGAGAGAGAGGAGTGAGAGGGAGAATCTCCCATCTGCTGATTGACTCTCCAAGTGCCTGCAGCAGCCATGGCTGGGCCAGGCCAGAGTGGGAAGCTGTGAATTCTTTCTGGAGCCCCCCTGTGACCGGCAGGGACCCACGAACTTGAGCTGTCACCACTGCTTCCCAGTGTTGTACTGAGCGAGTGCAAACAGAGGAGCACCACACGTGGATAGAATGTGATGGTCCTTTATTGCCAGCGGTGGAGTGGGCTCATGCCCTAAAGAATTCTCAACCCCGAAGCCCAAAGCTACAGGCAGAAACCGCAAAATCGGGAGAAGAATACATGGTTGCTAGGATCAGGGGGGAACACATGGTTACCGGGGTCAAGCTGACCTAAAACCTATGCGAAACTAATATCAATTATATTCTTGGCAATACCAGTTACAACCTTGTCAATATGAATTACAATCTTGACATTAATCCAGGCATTGGCCTAAATCATACGTAGGACATAGACAAATTGCAGTTTCATCATTAACCCAGGTGCAGCCTATCCACTCCCCAGCTTGAGCAATCATGCTGGGGGTTTCTATGCTCTGCCAAGTGTGACGCAGGCTGCCAGGTGTGATGTAGTGGACTGCTGTTGTCCGAGTATTTTAGATCATGGTCTCCCACCAGCGTCTCATGGTGGAGGGGCGGGGGGCGGGTGCTTTCTCAAGATGGAGTCTCAGGTGCTCCAAAATGAAGTCCCTACTGTCAAGGTGTTACCTCATTCCCCCCTTCATGTTTTGACAATAAGCAAATCCTTGATTCAGCCACATTGTATGGATCTGGAAGGATATTTAGGGCAGAGTAATAGGTATGTATATACATGAGTTTAACAGAAGCTTTGTTACTTTGTCTAATGAAATTTAGTAACTGGTTAAGAATGTAGGGTCCTTCAATTAGGACAACCCCTGGAAGAGACTCTAGGCTGTGTAACAGGTCAATAGAAGATTGGCGCTGGCTGATGTTGGCATCTGGGAAGTACTTAGCCCACCCAGAACCAAGAGTGCTGTGCTGAGGGCAGCAGTGCCTGCCACACTGACCCAACTAGGACCAGAACTACCACGGGGCCTTTGGTGACAGCCGGAATGGCAGGTGCTAAGAGCCAGTGTTGGCTTTGGTGGACCCAGCCCCTTTTTGCTAGCTTTGGGTACAGTGTACACAGTGGACAGAGTTGGAATCAGGTCTCAGAGTAAATCCTTTGTTCACAGCTTACAGCCTGTGTGTACAAGACTTTTTGTTAAAGCCTGAGGGGCCCACAGACACTTAGCCCAACCAGACGGCCTCAGCCCTCCCCCTCTTGTAATCCACACCCTTCCATTGTAGGGACCCAAAGCATCAATCTCATCTTGGCTACTTCCTGCTGACAGGGGGTCATTGTCCTGGGGGTCCCTTAGGGTGTGGAGTGGGGAGTGGCAGTCAAAACAGGGTTCCAACAGGAGGTGGCCTCTCAAGGGGGCGGCAGTGTTAACTTCCAAAAACTGCTTTCACCCAGGATTTCATGTGCATGGCCATCTAGAGTTCACTGCTTTAAATCTGGAGAAAACAAATCCAACAAGCACATTAAGTACACGGGGACTAAAACAAAGGACAGAGTCATTATTAGAGGACCTATGAAAGGTGCTGTCCAAGCCAGGTGGGTGTGAACCTTCTTGGGGCAGGCACCCTGTTGACTCCCATTGCCTAGGTGGCCTGGGAGCAGAGCTGGCCTGAATAAGAGGTCAGTATAGAATAGACAGGGTCTCTCAAAGCAACCCTACAGCTCTGCCTACAAGGTTACTGGCCCTAGGCTGTCCCCCTGATGGCGGTGGTCACTTTGGAAGCTGAGCAGAGTGAAGGGCGTTTTAGCTTAGAGCCAACAAGACCTGCGGCTCTGACCTAGGAGTCCTTCGACTCCAGGGCAGTTCCGTTCCCAGTGACCCAGCTCTGGGCTGGCAGAGCTAACAGGGCTCTTCAGAGACTGGCTTCCGTCTGTCTGAAGCCCTGGTTTGCACATCGAAAACCAATGCCGTGTAGGGTGGACTGGCCTGTTGGGTGTCCTGGAGGGCAGATCACTGTGGAAAGCTGGTATTAACTGGCTGTCACCTGTGCTTACTTTGTTCCTGTTGTCCAGCTCACTCCTCCTTGTTAAAGCAGACCACAGAGGAGGCCTTTAGGATGTCAGCCAAGGGAGTGCTCAGTCCCGTCACTACTCTGGTGGCCTGGGCTAGAAATGTGTTGTCATAGGCATCTATAAAATCAAACATGAAGAGCACTTTATCCAAACCATTTTGAACCAATTAGTAAGACTTTGGATCTCTCCATTAGTTTGGTTTGAAAAGAGAGGTTTGGGGGCTGGCGCTGAGGCACAGCAGGTTAAAGCCCTGGCATGAAGCAATGGTTCTAGTCCCGGCTGCTCCTCTTCCTGTCCAGCTCTCTGCTATGGCCTGGGAAAGCAGTGGAAGATGGCCCATATCCTTGGGCCCCTGCACCCATGTGGGAGACCCGGAAGAATCTCCTGGCTCCTGGCTTCGGATAGGCGCAGCTCTGGCCATTGTGGCCATCTGGGGAGTGAACCAGCGGATGGAAGACCTCTCTCTCAGTCTCTACCTCTGTAACTCTGTCTTTCAAGTAAATAAAATAAATCTTTAAAAAGAGAAAAGGAAGGTTTTGCCTGTTTACTGTATTCATAGCAAAATAAATCTAGCTGTTATATGTGGCCAGGCACGACGACAGAAAAACGTTAGCCATTACTTTTATAAGGTCTGAAGATCAAACTGTATGTCCTGATGGAGAATTGAGAGCAGAATCAGTTTCTCATCTTAAAGAGAATACAGGCTTTTTAGATTACTTACTGTCAATAATTTAATATTAAGTGAAAACTTAGCAAGCGATTTTATTGTCAAATAACAACTTATGAAAGTATTTGCCAAAAAGTCTAAAGTCTTTTATAAATTAAAAGAGTACCTGTAGTTGGAAATATATTTTGAATATCTAGCACAAATATAACTTGTTCGACCAGCAAACCCAAGCATAAACATGTCAATAACTTAAAAAAAGCATTTTTGGGCCAGCACCGCAGCTCACTAGGCTAATCCTCCGCCTGTGGTGCCGGCACACCAGGTTCTAGTCCCGGTCGGGGCGCCGGATTCTGTCCCGGTTGCCCCTCTTCCAGGCCAGCTCTCTGCTGTGGTCCAGGAGTGCAGTGGAGGATGGCCCAGGTGCTTGGGCCCTGCACCCCATGGGAGACCAGGAGAAGCACCTGGCTCCTGCCTTCGGATCAGCGCAGTGCACGGCCGTAGCACACTGGCTGTGGCGGCCATTGGAGGGTGAACCAATGGCAAAAAGGAAGATCTTTCTCTCTGTCTCTCTCTCTCTCACTGTCCACTCTGCCTGTCAAAAAAAAAAAAAAAAAAAAGCATTTTTGGTTTCTCTGTACCACCAAGTTTAAAACACCTGATACAGAGGTTTATTTAAGTCATGTGAAACAAAATGTATTTTGGGTTAACTTAGTAGTTTAAATTTATGA